ACACTGCTGGCCAACCAGGTCTCCACCCAGGTTCACAGGAGTCTATTGAATGTTGTAGGGCTTAGCTCGCAGCTTCATTGCTGTTTTTTCCTCACTTCCCCTTATCGGTGATGAATGTGGTCACCAATTGCAGCGTGCATTCCCATTGAGTCTTAGTCTTGGAAGGGGGCCAAATAACATTTTTTTAAAAAATTCCTTACCTAGTAGTTCTGATACCATTTCTAATGTAATTTTTTTTTCACTTTATATTTTGGTCACTTGTTTGAAACACTCTGTCTTGTTTCTTTGTGTAAGCTCAAATTTTCTGTTTTCTCTCAGACATTGTGGTGTCATTGTATTTATATTTAACTGATGTTTGTTTGTTGGTGTGTTCTCAGGTCCTCATCATCTGTCTTCTGGGGGATGTTATAGAGATCTGAAGTGTGAACCTAGTTATGCAGTTTTCTATTTACTGTTTATATAGTATAGTTCAGGACAGGTTCATAAGCATCCAGAGGTGGGGGTAGTATGCCTGTGCCCAACCCCAGGTGAACAAAGGCAGCACAAGACGGGGTGCCACTGGCTTCTGGGTTGGTGAGGGAGGGGCCATACCTCCCAGCTACCAAGAAGTCAGAGGGAACAAGGGAGAACCTCCTAACCACCAACCTCTAGTCTTACCCTGTGCCTTCAGTCCCCTGTGTTGAGAGCCACCCAAAAAAGTTCAAGAGGGCTTGAACTTTGTGAACTACTCCAGGGCAGCAGGTAGCCTGTTGGATTTTCTTCTCTTCCTCTTTCACTTTCGCTTTTTCTCCTAGTCAGCACTCAGTCTCTGTCCTGTCCTTGTAGGCTGAGGCTCCCAAGCTCACCGTCTTTATCAGTTTTACTGGTCTCCCATGTCCTTGATACAGAGGGTCTACTTAGTGTGTCTGCTTCCTTCGCCATCTTGCTCCAGAATCTGGTCTTTTTTATGAATTTGTGTTTTGTTCTATTTTTCTCCCAGTCTAACCAGCACCTTCTATTGGATTCCTGGGCAAATGGTTGGTAGTGGTAGTCAGGCACCATTTAGTTCTTCTGGTCTCAGGTTAAATAAAGTAAGGCTATAATTCCTCTGGACTAATTTCTTCCTAGAATCTTTGATTTTCTTCACTCTACTTACTCCAAATGGAAAGAAACTAATAGGTGGCTGCTTGTAAGCTTTTAAGATACCAAATGTTACTAACCAAACTGGGATGTAGACCATCTTTATGAACTAAGTTATCCCTTTATGAACTAAGATGTCCTATGAAAATATGGTCCTGATCCTTTCCAGTAAATAAATCCTCCAAGGAGTTTGAGTATTTCTAAGAAGTACTCATACATGCACCCCTGTGAGTTTTATTTTATATATGGATATATGTGTAGCACATTCAAATATATTTATACATATGCCTACAAATATACCTATCTGTTGTTGTTGTTAAGTGCTGTCGAGTCAGTTCCGACTCATAATGACCCTGAGTAGGGTTCCCAAGGAGCTGCTGATGAGCTTGAACCACTGGCCTTGCAGTTCAAACTGGTCTTGCAGTCTAGCACATCAACCCACAGCACCACAGCAGGACTCCATACTTATATATGCATTTACATATACTCCCATATGGCTTCCTACACCTCTATAACATACTTATCTACCTATGTGACCATTCAAATTGTTTATTGTCATTGTTGCAATATACTATAGCATTTATCATTGTTGTCCTTTATTCTTGCATACTTCTCAATGTGTTCATGACTTTAGTCACACTGTGCTGATCCCTTCCATATTGTGAATGGCCTTTCCCATCACCAGAATTAACTCCTGGGGTAGTGCTGTAGGATCAGCACTGTAGTGTGAACCACAAGGTCAGCAGCTCACACCCACCAACTGCTCCTCAGAAATACTATACAGGGTCACTGTAAGTCAGAACCGACTCGACAGCCCTTAACAGCAACAAATGTCTAGTTAGTGATTTCTCCCCCCATTCTCGGTAACCATCGGAGAATATTGCTTTATATATAGCAGGTATACTCAAAATAATGAAAAGGCCAGGCTTACTTGATGTGGATCCCTGAGACAATGACCCTTAGTCACCCTTCAAATCTGGAAATGAACTCACCAGCATTGCGCTAATTTTCAGCCAAACAACAGATCTGTAAGGAGAACAATAGAACTAAGGAACTATGTACACCTTCAAATAACCACTTTTGAGATCAAAGGGCAGCATTTACCTAAAGACAAAGTTTAGAAGGGTTAGGAAAGAAGGAGGAATGAAAACAAGAAACTTGGGAGTAAGTGGGATAAATGATATTATATGGTGGAAATTACAATCAGTGATATGAAACAAAATAATATATGAATTTTTGAATGGAAAACTGATCAACTTTGTAAATTTTCAACTAATTCACAGTTCCAAGTTTTTGAAAATTGATTATGAAAAAACTTAGGTTTGCAAAAACATATATTATTACAGTTATGGTTGGTCAACTTTTTGTGTTTTAGAAATTCACACAGAAAAAATGAAAAACTGTTTAAAGTACAAATGGATGCTAAGAAAATGTTCCTTAAATTATATTGATTTTCTTGGTAGGAATTAAATATGGGGCAGAGGTGTTCCGATACAAGAGGAATTGTCTTTGAAGATGTGAAAGTGCCTAAAGAAAATGTTTTAATTGGTGAGGGAGCTGGTTTCAAAATTGCAATGGGAGCTTTTGATAAAACCAGACCTCCAGTAAGTAATATGAATTGATAATCTTTTTAGGTAGCTTTATGTTAACATTGTGTGTTTGCTACGTAGGGGGTTTTGTCCCTTTCTTTTTAAATGTCTGCTACTTTTAATAAGGGTGGAGAGATATTAATACCATTCTTTGTGGTTTAGAATTCTTCAATTCACTTTGCTGCCCATTTTGTAGAAATCATTTCAACAAATATACTGTTACTAGTAATTCTGATTTAAACCACCACCTTACAGGTAAAATCAACCTTGCAGTCTAGTGCTTATCCTTGTTAATATACAAGGAATGATTTCTTTATACTATGAATGTATACACAGATGGCCTGCCATTAACTTTTAATTCATAGAGAATATTAACTTAGACATGTATTTGCACCTACCGATTCTCTTGTTGCCTTTAAGCTGTAGGTTGTCTTCTCTTTGTAGTCATGTACTATGTTTTTGATACATCATAAACTTTGGCTTTTATGAAATGTTAAAATACAGGTAGCAGCTGGTGCTGTTGGATTAGCACAAAGAGCTTTGGATGAAGCTACCAAGTATTCCTTGGAGCGGAAAACTTTTGGAAAGCTGCTTGTTGAGGTAATTTAAATTTCATGCTTGCTTTGCTCCAATATAAACACACTTCTCTTTATCTAAATACAGATATGTGTTGCTTAATGTTTGTGTGGGCACTGTCTAACCACAGCCCATACAAACAGCCATGGTCCCATAAAGTTAAACTAGAGTTTATAAATCCTAATAGGAGAACAGATGCGGAGGACGTACTTTGCCGAGTATAGGCATATACCTCTCTTTGTTGAGCTTCACCTTACTACACTTTATAGATGCTGTTTTATACAAATGGAAATTTTGTGACAACCCTACATTGAAAAGTATATTGGAGTCAATTTTTCAAACACTTGTATTTACTTCATGTCCTTGTGCCGCATTTTGGTGATTCTCATCATTTCAAACTTTTCCATAAAGTGATTGCTCACTTAATAGACTAATACATAATATAAACACATTTTATATGCACTCGGGAGAACTTGGTTACTCTGTTATAATATTCACTTTATTACAGTGATCTGGAACCAAACCTGTAATAATTGCTGAGGAATACCTGCATGGGGGGGCTTCTAAAAGTAAGTATAAGAGATGGAATTATAACATAATGGTTATTTTTTCACAAACTTTTTGAAGCCCCCTCATACTGAGACCCAGAGATCCAAACTGCCTTTCACTAACTCTCTGGGTTTTGGGTCTATCTAGGCCCTAGGACAGCAGGATCCCTTACCCCCACCCTGCTACCTGCTCTACCACACTGACCTTAGGCAGGGATTGCACAGATATAGCAGGAGCTGCTGAGGAGGATGCCCCATTGATGCCGCATTCCTACTCGGACTATGTGTCCTGCACATGATTTCCATGGTAAAAGAAGTCCAGGCTGTGGTGGTGGCAGAAGAAGAAACAGGAAAAGTGTATGGCGAGTGCAGGCCATGTCTCCTGGTGACCAGGCATCAAACACACAAGGCCAGCAGTGATGGAGCCAAAGTTTGCATGCAGTCCCTCAGTGTAACAGTGGCGGCATGGGTCCCAGACGCAACCACTGACTATCTAGCACATCTCTTTTCCATAAACAAAAGGCTTCTAAAAGTCTGGAAAAATGGAATTAAAAGATAATGAAAAATTTCCACAATCTTTTGAAACCTTCTCATATTTTTACAAAACTGTATCCATACTGTATTGTTACCCTCAAGTTGATAACAAGTCTTGGCGGGCGACCCCGTCTGTGTCAGAGTAGAAATATTCTCCTTAGCGTTTTCAGTGGCTGTGATCTTTTGGAAGAAGATCAACAGGCCTTTCTTCCCAGGTACCTGTGTGTGGTTTCTAACCACCAGTCTTTCAGTTAGTAGCTGAACACTTAAAAAAAGCCAAATCCATTGCCATTAAGTCAATTCCACTACATAGAGATCCTATAGGGCAGAGCAGAACTGCTCTTTAACGCATAACCAACCCATTGCGCCACCAGGGCTACTCAGCTGAGCACTTAACTGATTCGTAAATGTCACTGTTGTTAGGTGCCTTCTAGTGACTACATGTGACAGAGTTAGTTAGAACTGCTCCTGGAGGTTGTCTTTGTTGTAATATTTACTGAAGTAGATGGTTAGGTCTTTCTCCTGCATGTTGTTAAGAGCCATCAAAGTCGTTTCTGCTTCATAGCTACTCTGTATAGGTTTTCAAGGAGCAGCTGGTATGTTTGAACCGTCATCCTGTGTCAAGGCAAGACTCCGCATAGCCACTGCCAGCCTTATGGTTAGTTGCTGAGCACTTCATTGTTATGCCTAGGTCTCCTTCCTTAAACATTGTTTTTTTTTTCCTTTTTATTTCTAGCACCAAGCAGTATCTTTTTTGCTGGCTGAAATGGCAATGAAAGTTGAACTTGCTAGAATGAGTTACCAGAGAGCAGCTTGGGAGGTTGATTGTGGCCGTAGAAATACCTATTATGCCTCTATTGCAAAGGCATTTGCTGGAGATATTGCAAATCAGCTGGCTGCTGATGCTGTGCAGATTTTCGGAGGCAATGGATTTAATACTGAGTACCCTGTAGAAAAACTGATGAGAGATGCCAAGATCTATCAGGTAAGGTTCAAAATGTATTATTAATGTATTATTATTCAAGAGAGAAAATATTGGTAATTCCCTGAGTCATCCTTCATGTCTGGAACTGACCTCACCCCCGTGGCTTAATTTTCATCCAAACAATAGACAGATTTATAAGGAGGAACAATAACACTAGGGAGGTACATATTCCTTAGACTCATTAATCAAGGGCAGCATTTACCCAAGGACAAAGGTTAAAGACTAGGGAATAAGGAGGAAGAGAAACTCTGAAACACAAGGAAGAAGTAGGATAAGTGATATTTGTTGTTGTTGTGAAGTACCGTTGAGTCGATTCCGACCCATAGCGAACCCTGTATAGGGTTACCAGGAGCAGCTGGTGAGCTTGAACTGCCTGTGGATATTGCAAACAGTGACATGAAATAAAATGTGTCTGAGTTGTTGAATAAAAAACTGATTTGCTCTGTAAACATTCACCAAGTTTATGCTAAAAAGTTAAAAACAAAAATTATAAATGACAAGATTAATTTGTATTTTATACTAAATGAGTATATAAATGAGCATATTTAAATGAGTATCATTATCAGTGACCGTGAGCCAAAGTTATTGAAATTAATAAACACAAAGAAATACGACTTTGTAAATGTATGCCTTAAAGGAGAATAGGTTGACAAATTTAATGTTACAGACATTTGTAGTACATCTGGCTGAGCCTTTTTGTTTTGTACTGTTTTGACATCCAAGTTCATTGTAAGATCCTTTGCTCTCCTTAAAAGTATGCCTTAAACATTTAAAATTCATTAAATTATTTTGTTTTCAATCTGAAAATTCTTGAATTGATTGAAACCATATTGGGAGTAAAAAGCCAATAGGAGGAAGCAATGATACAGATGACTTTGTCTTATAAATTCTATTGGTGGTTTATAAACGCTTACAGAAAAGACCAATTTAGTAATTATGTAAATAGATGAGTTCTCAATAGGTGTCATGTGGTAAGTATAACACATGCTCCTCATTATCTCTTTCCTTGCTTCCCCTCCTCATTCCTTGCCCCCAATACACACCCAGTCAATAATTTGACAAATTTAGCTGTAGTTCAGCATCTTCAATTTTAGAATGAGAAAAGTGAGGAGAATTTATGCCTTATTCAGAGTTAACAGATTTATCTGAAAAGCTCTGGTAGCATAGTGAGTTACACATTGACCTGCTAACTGCAAGGTCAGCATTTCAAATTCACCAGCCGTTCCAAAGGAGAAAAATAAGAGGTACAGCCTTGTACAGCCTGGAAAACCCTAAACAGGGTCACTCTGACCCAATGCGAAGGTACACAGTAGCAGCAGTGTTTTTCTTCTTAAGCCTATAATTATTAAGTACTGAAATCCTGTGGTGTGGCACTGTGGGATAATGCCCTGGAGCGCAAGGTCACTTTGAGCCTTAAGGTTAGTGGTTCAAAATCACCAGCCACTCCTCGGAAACCCTATAAAGGGTGACTGTGAGTCAGAACCGACTCGATGGCACTTAATAATGTTACTATTGTTATTAACTGTTTAACTCTTTCCTGCCATCTCAGAAGATAAACTAATAAGTGACTAGGGTTAGAAGTTGAAACTGGAAATGAAGGCTAACTACCAGGAATATCTAAAGGATCAAAACCAAATACTTCCAACATAAAACTGATGATCTGCCCTGTAAACTTTTACTCAATCCATAATAAAAACCTAAAAAAAATACTTCCAGCAATTCTCTTAGTAGGTGGCAAGAATAAAAAAATCGTATCCAAGAGTAATAATAGAGAATGGCTGGAGGTGACACCTAGCTAAATACGGTTAAAAAAATTGGATAAATATATTTTTATCTTTATATCTTTTAAACTTTAGGGAGTTACATGTTTTCACATGTTCAACAGAATCAAACATTGGAGTCACTGTAGACTACAAATCTTATATATGGTTTGATTTAGTAGTTTGGTATTGCAGTGAACTGATTGTTGTTGTTAAGTTCTGTCGAATCAGTTCCGACCTACCCATAGCAACCCAATATTGGGTTTCCTAAGAATGGCTGGTGAGCTTGAACCATCGACCTGTGGTTCAAACTGACTTTGCAGTCCAGCACATAACCTACAGCGCTGCACCACAGGACTCCAAAATACTGAGTAAATCTAGGTAGGCTGCTTAATGTACTGAAGATATTTAACCTTCATTTATATTTATTTTCTTCCAGATTTATGAAGGTACTGCACAAATTCAAAGACTTATTATAGCCCGTGAACACATTGGCAAGTATGGCAATTAAGGAAATCTCTGTGGAAGCATGGTTCATTGCTAAGTCCTAGAATATCACCCATTATTTAACCCTCTAAAATATAAAGAGGTTGAAAAATTAAGATTTTTTTTCTGGTAAAAATTTAAAGTATTCTTATGTCAAATTTATGCAATTGATTCTAATATTAGTTTTGTATTTTGTTTAACTTAGGACTTACTTTTATCAAATAGATTTTGTTTCATTAAAATTATACTGTCTCCTCGGTACTTGAATTACATTAACCAAAAAATTATATCGACTTGTTATTTTTACATCTTAAAATTGAAGTAGCAATGATTTTTTGGAATTACAATATTTTTCCAGTAACAAAAGTGAATTTATAAAAGTAGTCTCAGTGTTCAAAATTTTACATTTGGAAAACATTGTAGGATTTGGAGACCACCAAATAACTTACTGTTGACTATGTAAATTTAATAATACTGTATTAGAGGAGTTCATTTTACTGCAATTTGTAAAGCATTTGCTTTCAACCTTGTAACTATCAAAAGTTTAATATTTGTTGTTATTTTATTATTAAACTATCAAGAATTACCTAAAAATTTTGTTTAATTGTGAACCTACACTTCACTTGCCTTTTAAATTAATTAATTAATTAAAATAAATTAATAAACCTTGCCTTATATTATTTTTATGAGTCCAAAGATCTCTGCGTAACATTTGACCTACTGTGCACATTCTCATTTCATGTGCATACATTATGAAAAGGAACTAAAATAAAATTGTCTTTGAATACTTATCAGTGTTTATTATTACATCATATTAACTGCATATATTTGATGTATTTACTGTGATGGGGGAAAAAAGCTGTTTTGGTGGCAGGGGAGTCATGTTTTATTTTGAACTGCATAAATTACCTGCCCATTTTTTATCAGAGACTGTTATTTCAGAAAATGGACATATAAAATAAAAACCAAAAAACTGGATGGTACTCAACTGCTACTGACTATTCTGACACAATAGGAAGTCCCAGATGGAATGAGAGAAAAATGTAAAGCAAAACTCAAAGTTTCAACAAAAAAGGTCAGACTTAATGACCAATAAACTAGCGGTACCTCTGAGATTATTTCCCTAAAATAGATACCTTTGAACTTGGAACTGAAACCACTCCCCGAGATTATCTTTCAGGCAAATAACAGATTAGTTTATGAAATAAACAGAATCATCCATGATTAACATATTCCTTTAAACAACCAACTATATGAGACCAAAAGGTACCACAAGGTCAGCAATTTGAATCCACCGGCTACTCTGAGGGAGGAAGGCAAGACTGTCTCCTTCTGTAAAGATTTACAGACTCGGAAACTCTAAACTGGGTGGCTGTGAGTCAGAACCGACTTGATAGCATACAACCACCACTACACAAGACCAAATGGCCAATACCAAAAGCAATAACAAGAAGGCAAATAAGAAACAGAATGGAAAATAAGATCAATAGAAACAGAATGGAAATAAGGAGGATGAGGATATATTGTGAAAATTCTGGCCAATGTTACAGAACAATTTGTATAAAAATGGTTAAATAGGAACTTAATTTGCTGTGTAAAACTTTGCCTAAAACACAGTAAATAATTTTTGTGAATAATGCCTCACCATCACATATTTATCTATTACATTTCTTACCACATACATGGAGTCCTGGTGTGGTGCTGTGAAATAAAGCACTAGATTGTAA